CTTAAAAGCTAATCCATTAGCAGCTATATGAAGTGGTAAAAAGGGTAATAAAGCATTGAAATTGTTGGTAATGAAATATCTGACATGGCTAATCATATTGCAATTCACTTTTATCATTGTGTTTATTTGATAGACTCTTCCATAATTTGGACTGGAAAACATACAAAATTAAATTAATCCTCAGCCCCTTTGTTGACTGTAGCTTTTCAAATTTTTAAGAAATTGAAATAAATAGCTACATATTAGAATGGTTGGGCTTCTGTAATTAACTTCAGAGTAGAGTCTGACCTGCTCTGTTTGGAAAACGCTATAAGATAACTGTTGTTGTGATGTGGCGCTATACAAATAAAATTGAATTGAATTGAATTAGAAAATTATTGTTATTGTTCAAACTTTGCCTGCACTAAATTCCCAAATATTAACCATCTGTTTGCTCAAAACATTTACATAAAAAAATCTGATTTTATATTTGTATCATCATCATCATCATCATCATCATCATCATCATCATCATCATCATCATCATCATCATCGTCATCATCATCGTCATCATCTTCATCATCATTTGTTTGTTATGTTTTTTCGTAATATGCAAACATGCAGTTTTGCATGCATTTTGTGCCTCTACATGTATGCCGGCCGTGTGAGTGTACCTCATTGCACGACTAAGTTTCTCATAAGTCATGCTGCTGTTATTTTTCTTCTTTCCCCACAGCTGTGCCACTGCCTCCGACTTCAGGAAACGGAAAACTCCCTCTGTCCGATCCTCCCACTTAATCAGCCCTGGGTTCCGCTCCGGGTTCAGCAGAATGTCCCTGATGAACTCCCACAAGTGGGTTCCTCTTGGGTCTTTATGATATTAAAAACAGGGATCACTGACTATCCAAAAGATAAGTAAGAGTGTCTGGAAGAGCATTTCTACTCACTGTGTTTTTTGGCCTGATGACCTCGTTGGAAAGATCGTTTGATATCTGAGAGGAAGATGTCACAGTTGGTGAAAACTTTAAATTTTCATGTTGCAGTTCCATAAGAGGTCCAAACAGGCTGTGTTGTGAGCATAATCAATTCCTTACCAGGACTAGAAGGAGTGGGAGAGGCATCAGATGCAGGAGGGTGAAATGAGGGATCGTAGATGTCTAAGTTAACAAAAATGACAATATTAAAGAATGAGGAAAAGTCTTCATAATAAACTTTACCAGAGTAGTAATGGTGCTTATAATTTTACATATAAACATGTATTTTATATTACCTCCAGGTGGATAGCTGACATCTGGAAATGGAGAGGAAAAGTCTACAGTAAAAGAAGTTTGTGTGAGCTGAAGCTGCTTTAGCAGGAGTAAAATAAGCAGCATTGAGGTTGCATAAAACAGCCTTACCATCAGGTTTGAGCTCCAGCTGTCCTATATCCACGTTGCACTGCCCTGTTCAGAGATTAGAAGGAAAATGGCACAGGTCAAATTTACTGCTTAGTCTTTGAAGTTTAACTTTTCATAGGAACCATATTCATGATTTGGATGTAAGTAATGAACTGTATCGCTGATTAACTTATTCAGAGTTGTGTTTTGGGCCTTAAATACTGTAAAATGCCTGAAAGTCTGAGCTTTTGAGTATGTATGAATGGAAACCTGTTGTGTAAATTCATGGCATGATTAATTACATCTCTATAAGCCAATAGATGTTTTGAACGGCCTTGCTTTTTTAATAATCGAGAGGTTAAACCTGTTATGCCAGGTCTCATGAATGGTATTTTGTTTTTCATTTTAAACACATCTAAACATCTGATGTGCATATATTATTTCTCTTGTAAAATAAATTAATATTAACTTGTTTAGATAGCCATATTATGGAAATACGACCAGTATTTGGCCAAAGGATATAGCATGAAACTTAAAACCTTTCTCTGTGAATTAACTGAGCAATAAAAAAAATGTGCCACCTCTCAGCTTGTTTCTCAGCTTCACAGCCCCTTTGTCCTTTCTTAGGAGAGCCACTTTAGCAAGTGCAAGCAAAATATTCATCATGTCCCTTGCTCGAAGCACTGTTCTCTCTGTTATACAGCTGCCATGCACAGCGACCCCTGACTGGCTTGGTAAGCCCTCTCAGCTACACTTCATCAAAACTCTGTTTCACACACACATTACTCAGATCACTCTGCTCTTTTTCTACCTGGACTAATCATCTTTGTGTTTGCCCCTTACACCCTTGGTTAGGATTTGACACGCACCACTCCATTTGAGTTCTGTGATGTTTTGGAAGAGAATGGGTCCCACGCTGCCAGCAGCACGGACAAAGTCCTGATAGCCTAGACTGCAAAGCTGATGGCCATCCATGTCGAAGTTTTGGAAGGGAATACTGGAGGCATCGATCTGGTGTATGTCCATAACCTGCTGCAGCCACTCCCACACCTGGTACTTGGTCCAGAACTGAGGCTGGGAGTCATGAGACCACAGACGACTTGTGTAACCAGACATTATCAGTGGACCTGGAGACAAACATTAACATTTAGAATCTATGACACCCATTGCGAAAAAATCCATTGTTTCCAATTATGTTCCATCAATATTGAGATCCATCTAATGAGGAAAATCTCTACGACAATGTTTGCCAATCATAATTCTTGAAAAGGGGTTAAAGAGCTGTTAAAGTATTTCTCAGCTGAAGATCCTAATTCACACCTTGTGTTTCAGAGCTCTGGGCTCACTGGGTTAGCAATACATCATCCCTGAAAGATTTTCACTTTGTATTCTCGCTTCATACCACATAATTGCTCAATAGAGAGGAATCACGACCCTACAATAGAAGCTTAACATATTTTCTTCAGGGTTTTGGGTGATATTTTTCAGAAACTTTAATCAAGTGATCAATGTCAGCGATGAGCGCATGTATAATGAAGGAAAGTAATACAATGGGCTTTGTTATGACAGAAGCCATGATCCTCACCATCAAAATAGGAATTTGTAGGACCCCAGGTATTGATCAGCTGGCTGTCCAGGGGGCTGGATGAAGTTACACTCATTTTGCAGCTTCCACACAGTGATGTACCATGGCCCAGGGGCTGAGGGAGGAGATCAGTCGATTGCATTTAATTAAATCAAACGGCAGAAATGAGTTACATACAATAAAACTAATGATAAGTGTTTCTGTCTCGGGACAGTTTATGAGGGATCAGAGCTTTGCGCTGGAAAACTTACGGACAAAC